TGGGCTTATCAGTCCTCACGTCAAGCTGACGATGCCATCCCATGGTTCAGGACTTGGTGGGAGACATAGCCGAGCGGCTAGCTGATGTTCGTAAAGAAGTCAATGTTTTCCTGTCTACCCAACTGAGTGTCTTCCGACACGTTCGCGATGCGATAGCTGAGAACCAAGACATGCAGAAAAAATATGCAGATAGAAGAGGTAGCGACATGCTCAAAACGTTATGGTCGGAGGCCTGCTTTTATTACAAACTAAAAACCTTTCTACCTGTGCAATTGCTGCTGTCTTTTAGACGCAGCTCCGTCCACGGTTTATCGGAATTTTCAAGGTTGTAGCCAAGCGAGGCCTTGCGTATGCGCTAAACGTTTCGAAAGGAATGGGCACCCATCCGGTGTTTTATGTGGGCTTGCTCAAGTCGTTCCTGGATCCGGCGCACGTGATGCTAAAGCGTTGGCACCGGAGGGGAGCCTAGAGGCGGTCGGCCAACCAGAAGCTAAACCAGCAACCGGTTTGAGCACGGTGTGCAAATTTCTCCGTTTCCAACGGCGCCAGGAGCTCCACCTTCGCATGATGCAGCGCATTCGTCTGCTCAACGGCTAGGAGCCGCTCCGACAGAGCGTGATACTCCTCAACGTGAGGCATCCGGTGCACAACGTGCACCATGCTCTCTATCACTTCCGAGCAGCAAATGCGACCCGAGCATATTCAGCAGAGTCCCGATCGTGACGGAACTCGTCCTCAAGAGCTCGAAGATTATCCCAAGTCACCGGACGGGGCTGACCCAGTCGTCATTGTCCTCTTCTAGAAGAGAATGGTGGTGCTCACTATCACATAGAGCGTCTTCTGGATCGACGTCGTCGCCATGGTCAAACCCAGTATCTTATGGGGTGCGGAAATTCCCCGAATTCGAGAACTCGGGGGTGGGGGGTTGAAGTGCAACTTCGGCAAAATTGACCAGATGTCTTGAATGCTTAAGATCAGAGGGAACATGTCATTCTGCATCGTCTCTGGCGAAACCGCTGCATATGATGAAGAGCTCTCTGATGCGATGGGTGCAGCGGCACCGAAGATTATCCTCGCTGCACAACTTACAGTTGAGCCAGAAATAGGTGGACGCTAAAACGCCATCATTGGTTTGAGTTTGGCAAACTCAAGGCGCTTCGCTGACTTCCATCGGAATGTCGTCCTGTGACGTATGGATTGATCCATCACGCCCCCGCGAGCTTCGTGGTCTTCAATCGGGTGAGTCTGCGACCGCAACAGCTCAAGGCCACACCTTAAGCTCAGCTCATGCGATCACCACAGGACAGGAGCGCCTCCTCATTGAGCAAAAGGTCGAGTGCGGTACATATCCACCGGAAATTCTCGGGAAGCCGATTAGCGAGCTCGGGAAGCATTTCGCTCATCAGGCTCAACTTATGTAGTGACCGGGGGCCCGACCACGTAATCGCTTAACGATCAAGTGATCGTCACCGGAAATTCTCGGGAAGCCGATTAGCGAGCTCGGGAAGCATTTCGTTCATCAAGCTCAACTTATGTAGTGACAGGGGGCCCGACCACGTAATCGCTTAACGATCGAGTGATCGTGTCCTTCGCTTCTGCAGCGGGGTCCGCCGAGTGGAAGCGGTATTCTTCACGAGGGTCAAGGACCGACCGTGGATGCGCGCGCATGAGAGCCGCCCTGCGGATAGCATCCTGTTGTTGCATCTGGGCCTCGTCGAGGTGATTGGTAATGATACTACTTTCCCCAGAAGTCGAGAGTTTGGAAAACAGACGCGGCGTCCGCAAGGCTCTAGCAGAGTTCACGTCACGCTGCTGAGCAACCTCGTTTTTCTCTTCTTCCCATCCTGTGAAAGGAGTATTCGATTCCTTGTCGGCATCCTCCAAATCCTCGACGAGGTAATCCATCGCCCGTGGCGGGCGCGGTGCGCGGTCGGGAGTAGACA